TTATCCCTCTGGTTCGCTGTAATGCCTGTCTCCCGTTAGTGGGCACTTGACCAGATACCCCAGAAAATTTTGCGTAAGTATTTCTGCAGTGTTCTTAAGTACTCCGGTGTGTGTGTGTGTGTGTGTGTGTGTGTGTGTGTGTGTGTGTGTGTGTGTGTTTGCTTTGGTTTTTATTTTGTTTTCAGGAGACAGGGTCTCTATGTAGCCTGGCCATCCTGGAACTCACAATGTAGACCAGGTTGTACATAACACCATCACATTCAGTGCTCATTGAAGCCAGGAGAGAGCTGCAGTGTGGGTGCTTAGAAATGAATGAAATGAACCCAGTTCCTCTGGAAGGACAGCCAAGGCGCTAAACTGCTGGCCATCTCTCCAGCCTCCTGTCGATCCTTCAGTAAAATCATATTATTGTAGCAGAAGAACAAAGCATAGCTGGGTCCTCAGTGGACCCCTGAGCCAGGATGGAGAGAGGGGAGATATTGCTATAGACCTGCGTATAGACAAATACTTGGCGATTAGGGGTTGGAAATGATGAGTGTCTGGGGTGGCTGGGGATAGAGACAGCAGTTAACCTTGGACCCTAAAAGACATCTACGACAGGGTGTAGGTTTGGTGGCACAGGTCTATAATTCCAGTTATTGATGGGGCTGAGTGAGAGCAGCACCACATGCTTAAGGCCAGTATGGGCTGCTGGGTAAAAACCTGTCTCAGCAGGCAGGGGTGGCACATGCCTTTAATCCCAGCACTCAGGAGGCAAAGGCAGGTGAATCTCTGAGGCCATCTTGGTCTACAGAATGAGTTCCAGGAAAGCCAGGGCTGTTACACAGAGAACCTCTCCCCCACACACACATAAAAAAAAAAAGACCCTGTCTCAAGATTAAAAAAAAAAGGGTTATGAGGCCCTTGATTCAGTCCCCAGTACCATTCAAAATAAAAAGATGGCTGAAGAGATGGCTCAGTGGTTAGGAGCAGTGGCTGTTCTTGCAGAGGAACCCAGGTTTGATTCCTAGTACCCACGTGGTGGCTCACAACCATAATTCCAGTCCTAGAGGATCTGATGCCCAATTTTTATACATTTAGGCAATAGGCATACAGACATGATTTGCAGGCTAAAGAAATATACACATAAAATAAAGTTTAAAAAATTAGGGGGCTGAAGAGATGGCTCAGAGGTTAAGAGCACTGGCTAGTCATCCAGAGGTCCTGAGTTCAATTCCCAGCAACTACATGGTGGCTCACAACCATCTATAATGAGATCTGGTGCCTTTTTCTGGCTTACAGGGATTCCTGCAGACAGAACACTGTATATATAGCAAATAAATGTTTAAAAAAAAAAGAAAGCTAAACATAAGGATGTGAGGAAGGATTGGATGCAGGTAAAAGACTAGGTTATGAAAGAGGATACAAACACAATGAGATCTGGTGCCCTCTTCTGGCCTGCAAGCATATGTGCAGACAGAATACTGTATATGCAATAAATAAATCTTAAAAAAAAGTTCATTGAGTTATATAGACTTTGGTTCTTGCTAATTTTGGTATGTGATGTTTTTAATTATTTGCAAGATTTTTTTGTTTGTTTTGTTTTTCAAGACAGGGTTTCTCTGTATTGTTTTGGAGGCTGTCCTGGAACTCGATCTGTAGACCAGGCTGGCCTCGAACTCACAGAAATCCACCTGCCTCTGACTCCTGAGTGCTGGGATTAAAGGTGTGCGCCACCAATGCCCGGCTATTTGCAAGATTTTTAAAAATATTTACTAATTTATTTTATGTATATGAGTGCTGTCTGCATGTACACCTTCATTCCAGAAGAGGGCACCAGATCCCACTATAGACGGTTGTGTTCCTAGTCTCCATGTGGGTGCTGGGAATTGAACTCAGGTCCTCTGGAAGAGCAGTCAGTGCTCATAGCCGCTGAGCCATCTCTCCAGTCCAAGACTTTTTTCTATAATAAAGTTTATAAATAACTTAAAAATTGGGACTAGAGAGATGGCTACGTGGGTAAGAGCACTGACTGCTCTTCCAAATGACCCAGGTTCAATTCCCTGTACCCACATGGCAGCTCACAACTGTCTGTAATTCCAAGATCTGACATCCTCACACAGACATACATGAAGGCAAAACACTAATGTACACAGAATAAAATAAATAAATAAATAGCCGGGCGTTGGTGGCACACGCCTTTAATCCCAGCACTCAGGAGGCAGAGGCAGGTGGATCTCTGTGAGTTCGAGGCCAGCCTGGTCTACAAAGCGAGTTCCAGGACAGCCTCCAAAACAATACAGAGAAACCCTGTCTCGAAACACCAATAAATAAATAAATAAATAGATCAAAATAAGAAGATACTTAGGATAGATAGGTGTGGTGCTGAAGGCCTGCCGTCCTGACGCCCAGAGCGCGAAAGCAGCCAGACCATGACTTCTGGGCCAGCTCAGAAACTTGAGGTCAGCTTGGGCTGTATATTGAGATCCTGTCTCAAAACAAGAAAACAAAAAAACCTGAGACCATCTGTAGTCCCAACACCTGGGAGATGGAGGTAGGAGGAACTTAAGGCCATTCTTAGCTATATATAAAGTTTGAGGCTAGCCTGGGCTACATAAGATTTTCTCCTTAAAAAAATAAACAAAACAAACAAAAACAAAAAACAGTTGTCGGGTATAATGATACACACATTTAATCTCAGCACTAAGGAAATAGAAGCAGGTGATTCTCTGTAAGTTTGAAGCCAACCTGGTCTGCATAGCAAACTCCAGGGTAGCCAGAGCTATATAATAGAGAGACCTTGTCTCAAAAACAAGCAACACGGGCTGGAAAGAATGGCTCAGTAGTTAAGAGCACACACTGCTCTTGCAGAGGGCTGGAATATGGTTCATAGCACCCATGTGGTGGCTCACAACCATCTGTAACTCCCGCTCCAAGGGAGACTATGCTCTCTCTTCTGAACTCTGAAGACACAAGGTACAAACACCATACACATAACACAAGGCAAGCAGAACACTCACACATAAAGTAAAATAAATATGAGTGAGTGAGTGAGTGTGTGTGTGTGTGTGTGTGTGTGTGTGTGTGCTAGCAGGGCGGAAGACAGACGGCAGCACCGCAGAAGAACGAAAGCGAATAAACATCCAATGGCTTGGAGTCTGCTTGGGGCTTCTGGGAAGGATCCCACTGGAGGTCTTGAGGCGCTGTGGGAAACTTAACTTGAATAACAAGGAGTCCTGAAGGGTTCTCCAGCAGATGTGTTTGCTATGATGAAAACAGCTCCAAACTGCTAAGGGCTCGACCTCAGCAGAAGGGGGCTGAGATTTAAAACACGACTTTCAGCCGGGCGTTGGTGGCGCACGCCTTTGATCCCAGCACTCGGGAGGCAGAGGCAGGCAGATCTCTGTGAGTTCGAGGCCAGCCTGGTCTACAGAGCGAGTTCCAGGACAGCCTCCAAAGCCACAGAGAAACCCTGTCTCGAAAATCAAAAAAACAAACAAACAAACAAAAAAAAAAAAACAAATAGAACACGACTTTCCCTAGACTAAGAGGGGCAGAAGGCAGGGTACTCGCGGGAAGTGATTCCAGTGCGGAAAGGGGTGTGATCTCGGGTGAGAGTATTGCCATTCTCAGTAAATGTCAAGTTGCTAGTCCGGGCCCGTTCTTGCTTTCTTTTTCTTTTTTTAGACAAGAGGCCCTCTTTGTAGCTCTAGCTTTCCTTACATACACCAGATTGGCCTTGAACTCAGGGAACCGCTGGCCTGTTTCCCAAGTGCTGGGATTAAGTGAGTGAGGTTCCTCTTCTATTCAGTGCAGTAGCTACAGTACAAATCCCTGGCCAAGGGTTGATCCTGGTCTTTCAGACTGACCTGCAGCAGAAGCGGAAGACCGGACCAAGACCCTGGTTGTGCCTGTTGGACCAATCTTTCGTTCTCTCTGCACCTGAATTTACCAGTTCAAGCAAAGGCGATCGAGGTTTTCCTTGAGGGGACTTCGGTAAACAAAGCATTCATGGTCTGGGGAGCCTGGCAGGACCCCTAGCTGTGGAGCACGGCGCCACCAAGCAGGCGGGAGCTGGGACAAGAGCCACTCCTGGCGCCTTCTGCTCTTGCCAGAGGCACAGAGAACATGGCATCCACCCAGGGCGGTGCCTGAGGACGGAGGAGGGGTCGGCTCGAGAACCGAGAAACGAGGTCCTCAGCTTGCCAGGGACACGCCCCGCGCCTGTTCCTTGGACCTCTGGTCAAAGTGGGGGAACCCTAGCCTAGACTACACGCCACTTAGAGGCACTGACCAGCACGGATTACGTAATGGTGCAAGAGGTGGGGCCAGAATCTTGGGTCGCTCCGCCCAGGGCGTGGCCAAGGAGCCAAGTTCCGGAAGCTGCAGCATCTTCAGGGTTTGCGAAACCAAGCAAGGGATAGCCCAGGTTATCTTGTGGCTCCGCCCCTAGTAGGGCGTGACCAAGGAGGCAGAGCTCGCAGCGGCTCAGTAGATGGGAATTACGTAATGATGCAAGGGGTGGTCCCAGAGTCTCTGGTGGCTCCGCCCAGGGTGTGGCCAAGGAACTCTCCATATGCCCAAATGGCTACGACGATTGAGTGATAGTACAAAAAACAGACCAATGGGGTGGCCCCTCCCAGGGCGTGGCAGGTGCTCACAGGTCTGAGGGACTTTGTGTAATGCCCAAGAGACAGGGCCAATCCCATTTGACACCGCCCTGGTCCTGGAGGGATCTCGTCTCTGGGCGGCTCATAGTGTCTGCAGGAATTGAGCAGTTGTGCAAGAGGGGCAGGGCTAGTGTCGGATGGCTACGCCCAGCGCGTAACCAAGGCAGCGCAGACCAGATTCCGAGTGGCGGCCAGAATTGCGTAATGCGCGAGGGCCCCTCTTCTGGAGGCTCCGCCCAGGGCGTGGCCAAGAAGCTCCTGCTTTGGGTAATGGTGCAACGAGGGGGCTGAGCTGTGCCGCGGGATTACGTCAGGCCACGTGACCTAGAGTGGCGCCTAGACAGGGCAGGAAGATAGGGGGAGCCCTGGTTGTAAACCAGCCGGGCTCTGGGAGGCGGGGCGTGCGCGGGGCACACCTAGGAAGCACACTCTACAGGCCGCAAGTGTGGGCATGCTCCGCTGGGCGCGAGCGTGGAAGGTCACCCATGGGAAGCTTGGCGCCTCCTCTCCCAGATGCTTGGCGGTGCCTGTCGCCTTTAGTAGCGGCCGCAGTAGTGGCCAAGAAAACGCCGATCCGAGGTCAGTCAAGGACACCGAGTGGGTTGTGCCCCACTGGTCCTCTTCGCACGCGGCCGGGCTGGCCCCACCCCTTGCTTGGCCTCGCCCCTTCCCCCCTTTACTCTCCCCCTTTTCTCCATGGTGGTCCCCACTTTCCAGGCCGCTGCCGCTGTCCTATAACCTGCTAGATGGAGATGCGACCCTCCCAGCCATCGTCTTTTTGCATGGACTCTTCGGCAGCAAAACCAACTTCAACTCCATAGCCAAGGCGATGGTCCAGAGGACCCGCAGGAGGGTGAGCTTCCGGGTGGGGCGGGGCATGGGTGGGCGGGGCTAAGTGGGACGTCTGAGGGTAGTGGCCCTAGCTTCAATCCCTCAGGTCTGAGCTCCTACTAACAATTGGAAAGTTTCAGTGCACAGCAACCTGGAAAACATCTTCGCAGAGGCTGCGTTCTGCCAGATGTCCTCCAGTTCGTCCATTGATGTTACAGATCTCCACCTCTCTGAGGTCCCCAAGAAGCTCAGAACAAATGGCTAGCCGTGGTACTTAATTTGCATTCCAAAGGGCACGCTGGCTGCTGCCCTCACCGGCTCCCTACCATAAACTTGCCCAGCCCCGGGGCTTCCCTTCCCTTCCTCCAGCCTCTCTTTCCTGCGTGACCCAGCCATGTCTGCCATGCTCTCTCGTGGTTCTCTTGGTCTGAGGCTCCTCTCTTGGTCCGAATGCCCTCTCTGTTCCACACCTAAAGCTGCCATTTGACCACCACGTGCGCACCATGGCATGTGCGTGTGCATGCACACACTTGCATACGCATATACATGTATATAATAAAAATCAAGGAATAAGTTGGTTAGCAGCTAAGGAAGACACCCAAGGTTGACCTCTGGCCTCTGCATGCCCGTGAAAGTGTACACACACTCACACTCAGACACGATTATGCCCCCAGACTCATCTCCCTGACGGCTCCATAGTCTCTACCAGGCTTTCCATTGTCTGTCGTCAGAGTACCACCGTTCCCCCATTTCCCCCCATCCCCCAGGTGTTGACGGTGGATGCTCGGAACCACGGCGACAGCCCCCACAGTCCAGACGCAAGCTACGAGGCCATGAGTCAAGACCTTCAGGGCCTCCTGTCACAGCTGGGCCTGGCGCCCTGCATCCTCATTGGCCACAGCATGGGAGGGAAGACCGCCATGCTTCTGGCACTGCAGAGGGTGAGCCGCGTTTATCTGGGCCCCCCTCCTAATGCACTGTAAACCGTGAGCGCCCAGCAGATAACGTGGGGCGCATCACACCTTGGATGGCCAGACCCCAGCAACTGTGCTGGAGCCTCAGCGGGATTCTGTCTCATAGCCAGATGTTGTGGAACGCTTGGTTGCTGTAGACATAAGCCCAATAGGAACCACACCTGGATCATATCTCGGAAGCTACATGGCAGCCATGAAGGCGGTTGATATCCCGGAGAGGATGCCGCACTCCCAGGCCCGAAAGCTGGTAGATGAACAACTTAGCCCCACTGTCAAGGTGATGCATGATAACCCTTCCCCACACCCCACGTGTCAGAGAACAAAGTGGTGGGTGATTCTCACGCAGTCTCTCGCAGCTGCCTGACCGCCCCCTCCCCCCACAGGACCCGGCCATTCGGCGGTTCCTGCTCACTAACCTGGTGGAGGTGGATGGGCGATTCTCCTGGAGAGTGAACTTGGAGACTTTAGCTCAGCACTTGGACAAGATTCTGACCTTCCCGCAACAATGTGAATCCTACTCCGGGCCAACTCTCTTTCTGATTGGTGGAAATTCTAAATACGTAAAGTAAGTCAGTGTGGACCCGTAGGAAGAGGTGTCTGTCCCTCACCCACCACCAGCTGTGGGAGTCTGCTTCAGGTGGGGAGGACTTGGGTGTGGGCATGGGGTATCTGGGAGCCGGCAACACCACTGGGCGTGTCTGCTCAAGTAACTCATTCTCTCCTTTTCCCTCTCTCTCCCCGTTGTCTTCCTTAACCCCATCTCCTGTGGCGGCCCAGACCCAGTCACCACTCAGAGATTAGGCGTCTCTTCCCTCAAGCCCAGATTCAGACCGTACCTAATGCTGGCCACTGGGTCCACAGTGACAAACCCCAAGACTTCATGGATGCTATCAGCAGCTTCTTGACCTAAGAACTGACTCTTTGAAAGAGCAGACAGGGAACGCAGGGCTTGGCATCCTTGCAACCTGCCCTTTGCTTCTGCACAGAAAAACGCAGGTGGGCACCAAGAGGGCCCCGGGGGTACAGCGTGGTCCAACCCTTTAATGAATAAAGGCAGTTCTCTTAAAGTTCCGGGTCCGTTTTCACCACCGTCGGCCCCATTGGCTCCGGGAGAGGTGGATCCAGGAGCTCCTGCCAGCACGTGGGTTCTCTTGTGCGCCCAGAGCGCCCCTGGACTCCCCCTGCAGCTGACTCTGCACCCGCTCTCGAACCACCTGCTGCATGTCTTCCTGCGGACGGGAGAGAGGGAGCGGGTTCAAGGCCTTCCCGGGGACTGAGGGGCTTATTCCAAGCCTCCCGAGTCAGAGACCCCGCCCTACCTCCCAGGCCTCCACTTCCTGCTTCAGCCTCAGTTTCTCCTGCAGGACTTCCAGCAGCTGAGCCTCCACTGTGCGCAACCTGGCTCTGCAGGAGTCCAGCTCAGCTTCCACCGCGCGTTTCCTGCGGGCGGCGAGGACAGCGGCTGGGGATTTCTTTTTTCTTTTTTTTTAATTATTATTTATTTTTAAATTTAAATTAGAAACAAGGTTGCTTCACAAGTCCGATCCAGGTCCCTCTCCGTTTCCCTCCCCTCCTCCCGTGCCCTCCCCCTTATAACATTCTGCTTCCATTTATGTCTGCACGCCAGAAGAGGGCGCCAGGTCTCATTACGGATGGTTGTGAGCCACCATGTGGTTGCTGGGAATTGAACCCAGGTCCTCTGAGAGAGCAGTCTGTGCCCTTAACCTGTGAGCCATCCCTCCAGCCCCCTAGCAGCTGGGGATTTCTAGTGGCTTCTTTCCAGGGGTGTCTGGAGCCCCTTTCCTCTCCTGTAGCAGGAGTGTGTCCCCCCCGCAACCCCTGTCTGCAGTTTCCCTCACTTAGCGATGGCTTCATCCCGCTCCTGCAGGACTTGTTCCAGGGACGGTTCCGCTCGGGTGTCCCCCAGTGCTCCAGCGGCTTCGGGTTCTGGCTCTGTCGGGAGGGTAATGGATGAGGAAGCAGGGGTCTGGGGCTTGTCTGAATGACAAGTCCCACCCTGGGTACTTCTGCCCTGGCCCTAAACCTACCTGCCCTGTTATTTTCACCTTGCCTTACCACCCTTTGCCTCTAGGGGGCTCTCCACCCTCATCTTGTAAAGCCCTAGGAGAGAGCCCTAAGTCTGGCTGGCTGGGACTTTGGGCCTTACTCAGGAATGGCAAGCAGAGCCACTTGGCCGGGTTCAGCCGAATGGACAGAGTGTATGGAACTCCCAGAGGGAAAGGGTTTCCTACACTCAGGAAATCATGGTGAATGGGCTGGGGACACTTACCTTTCACTGTCCCTAGAGAGGTGGCCTGGTGACTGAGACTTGTCAGCTGGTTGTGGCTAACAGAAGACGGAGCCCTTTGCCCTTCCAGGCAAGGCACTCCCTAGCAGACTCCACCTACTGAAAGACAGTCTAGGGCAAGGAGCAAGTGCACCTCCCTCCTCTCACACCTTGGACCGCCCCAGGCCTTTCCCCCAGGTCTTGCCTTCCTTCGCCACTAGGGGGCGCTCCATAAATGTTTTGCTAAAGCCGAGAAGGGACAACCTTGGCTTGGTCCAAGGCTAAGCATGAGGCAGTTGCCCAGCATGAGGGTTGACTCTTCACTAGCCCTTGAAGGCATACTCCGGGACAACCAGGGCTACACAGAGAAACCCTGTCTCGAAAAAAAACAGAAAAAAGAAATCTACCATGGTATCAGACAGCATAACCAGTTGTCTTAACCCTGTATTCTCAACACAGAATAATTTGTAGCCTGTGAGTTTTCATGGTCTTGGCAGGTAAGCTGGTCCTCCATCGGGTTAGTCCAGTCTTCCCTCTTGATTGGACTGTCCTTTTACACTTGCACCATAGGCATCCCAGAAATAATAAGACTTTTCTGGTGCTGTCTAGTTCAAATCATGGCATATTCATGTCAGACATCTGACTGAGGTGTTTAGTCTGTATTGGGGGAGGGAAGATATTTTTAAGACTTTGAGCATATTTTTCTTTTCTCTCTTTTTGTTTTGTTTTGTTTTTTCAAGACAGGGTTTCTCTGTAGCTTTGGAGCCTGTCCTGGAACTCACTTTGTAGACCAGGCTGGTATCAAATTCACAAAGATCCACCCGCCTCTGCCTCCCAAGTTCTGTGATCAAAGTTCAAAGGCATGAGCCACCACCACCTGGCTTTTTTTTTTATTTCTGTGTTATATTCATTTGTGTTCTGCTGACTAGCCCCATACCCTAACTGGGTTATTTTAGGCAGATGCTCTACCACTGAACAACACCCCAGCCCCTCACTGGGGGATTCTGGGCAGGTGTTCTACCACTGAGCCACACCCCAGCCCCTCACTGGGGGATTCTAGGCAGATGTTCTACCACTGAACAACACCCCAGTCCCTCACTGGGGGATTCTAGGCAGGGGCTCTACCACTGAGCCACAGCCCAGCCCCTCACTGGGGGATTCTAGGCAGGTGCTCTACCACTGAGCCACACCCCAGCCCCTCACTGGGGGATTCTAGGCAGGTGCTCTACCACTGAGCCACACCCCAGCCCCTCACTGGGGGATTCTAGGCAGGTGCTCTACCACTGAGCCACACCCCAGCCCCTCACTGGGGGATTCTAGGCAGGTGCTCTACCACTGAGCCACACCCCAGCCCCTCACTGGGGGATTCTAGGCAGGGGCTCTACCACTGAGCCACACTCACCGCCCATAGACTACTCTTTTGTATAAAGTGTTGAGCATCTCAGCATCCTCAGATTGGATGATGGTAGAGATTCTTGGACCAGTCTGCCCAAGGACAACTGTACCTAGAGACCATGATGGGGAGGAGGCTGTTAGATGGGCTCATTGCCATTTGGTGGGTGCATATCTACGTCCACTTTCAATTCTGTGTAGTTGTTTGTCTTCATAGGTTACACATTTGTTTGCACCTGGAAGTGGTGTCCAGAGAGGCATATGCCACCCTAACCTTTCCCTTACTTTATTTTTATTTCCCATCTTCAAAAAGCAAGAAACAGAGAGGCAGCAAGGTGGCTAAGCAGGTGTACCTGCTGCCAATCCTAAAGACCCGAGTTTCATCCCTGGATGCACAGGTGCTAGGGGTGACTCGATTGTGACAGCAACCGTGCAAAGCAGAAATGCATGAAGGGGCTGAGTAAACTTTCACAAGCCAGGGAAATGGGGCAGCACTGTCCTTTAATGTCCACACACCATGGCCCATCCATGCACGCACGCGTGCACACACGCATGCACACACGCGTGCACACACACGCACACGCGTGCGCACACAAGCACACATACACACAAGTGTGAACACACCGCACATGCACACACACACACAAAGTTAAACTACCAAAAAAAGGAAAGAAACCTAACTTGTCATCAATATCTCCTAATGTGCTCATTTGTCTAGATTTGCCTCGTATGTTCTAATCTTTCCATGGGACTGGATTCCCCTCAGCATTTGTTTATTTATGGGCCAGGCTGGCCTTGAACTCACAGAGGTCTGCCTTGCGTCTGGATGCTGGATTAAAGGTGTGAGCCACCAAGCCTAGATCAACTTTGCTATATTTATTTGTTGCCTTTGTTTTTAGATTTTTACTTTATTTTTAATTCTGTATGTGTGTATGGGTATGTAAGTACATGAGTATAGATCACTGTGGAGGCAGAGGCAGGAGGATCTCTGTGAGTTCCAGGCCAACCTGGTCTACATGGTAAATTCCAGGACTAAATAGACAAAAAAAATAGTCAATTTTTTGTTATATCCATTTGTGTATTTTTGTTGTTGTTTTGAGATAGGGTTTCTTTGTGTATCTTTGGAGCCTATCCTTGAACTAGCTCTTGTAGACTAGGGTGGTCTCGAATTCGCAGAGATTCACTTGCCTCTGCCAAGTGTTGGGATCAAAAGCATGTGCCACCACCTCCTGGCTTCTCGTTCGTGTATTTTATATGTATGTGTATGGTCATGCACGTGGGAAACTCAGGTCCTCGGGTTTGGTGGTTTTATTGTTGGTCATCTCACCTGTTCCAGAAACAGAGTTTTGTTATATAGCCAAAGCATGCAGGGACACTACTACTGAGCCTTGCTTCCATTCCTCGCTGGCAGATGTTGGACAAACCCACTCCACCTCCCAGTGCTGGGATCACAAACCAATACCACCATGTGTGGCTTTTTTCAGGCAGGGTGTTGTGTAGCCTAGGCTAGCTCGCACGTTACTGTATTGCAGAGGATAGCCTTGAACTCAAGTGGTGGAATGACAGGCGTTTTCATTCATTCTGCAACTATCTTAGGTGCATGTATGGTATGTGTGTACTCACACATGCCATGTGTGGTCTTTATTGTTTGTTTTTGTTTTTTGAGACAGGGTTTCTCTGTGGCTTTGGAGGCTGTCCTGGAACTCACTCTGTAGACCAGGCTGGTCTCAAACTCACAGAGATCCGCCTGCCTCTGCCTCCTGAGTGCTGGGATTAAAGGTGTGGGCCACCACCACCCAGTGGGGTGTGTGTGTGTGTGTGTGTGTGTGTGTTCATGTGTTCTACAAACATTTAGCACCTGATCTGATCCAGCTATGTGTCCTGGTGATGGGAAGAAAAATAGACCAGATGTCATGGTCTTGGGGACACTTACATTCTAGTGAAGGGAGACAGACATTAGAGTAACACACAGCCAGGCCTGCCTGTCATCCCAGCACTCAGGAAGCTGGGTCACAAAGATGGGGAGACACAGCTCACACATCTCTTGCAGAGGAGCTGAGTTCAGGCCCCACTGCCTAAGACAGGCATCTCACAAACACCTGTAACTCCAGCTCCAAGGGCTTGACACCCTCTCTGGCCTCTGAGGGTGGGGAGCAGCACTAAGGATTACGCCCATAACTATGAAAATTGGAAATGCTAGCAAAGGGTGTGGATCAACTTTCACAAGCCAAAATACCAGCCCAACACTGTTTCAACATAAAGTTCTCCTGGAGGGGCTGAAAGGTATCTCAGTGGTTGAGAGCTGTGGTGGTCTCTGCAAACACGAGGGCCAACCGTGTAGTGATCTGAATGAGGGCAGAAAAAAAAATCAGTTTAACACAACTCAGTTGCCAGTGTTGGTTCAAACTTCTAGAACAATGGTTCTCAACCCCCCTAATGCTGTGACAATTACCCCCAGCCATAAGATTATTTTTGTTGCTACATCATAACTGTAATTTTGCTGCTGTTGTAAATCATAATGTAAATTATATGTAGGTGGTCCTAGGGGCCCCCTGTGAAAGGGTCACTCAGTCCCCCAAGGGGGTCACAATCCACAGGTTAAGGACCACTGTTCTAGAGTCCAACGCCAGGCAGTTTATTTTAGACATATTTAAGTACAGTACAATTTGAAAAAAAGTTTCTTCGTGATATAATCCCATGTGAACACAGAGTCATAGTTACATCAGAACTCTTCTCAAAGTGTATGTCACTTCTTCCGTGAAGTCAGATTCTAGAGAGAGGCTACCTGTGTTATCTTAAGGGCTTGGGGGAAGATCTGGTGTGGTCCCCTTCGTACAGACATAGTAGAGGCCATATAGGTTATTAGCTCCCTCTGGTCCTGGTTGTGGGGAAGCCCCTGGCCATACAGATAGCACAAGGGTCGTCTAGACTATTAAGTATCTCCAGTCCTGTTTTGGGGATCTGGGCAAGTCCCTGGCCACACAGATAATGAAAGGGTTGACTAAGCTACTAGCCACCTCCACTCCAAGCTTTCTGGACAGAAAACAGGTTATATATCTTTTCCCTTGAAAAGACAACCATGTGTGTTTAACCTTCCTGGTTTCCGTAGTGCAATCTGTGAGCACAGGACCTTTGCACTCCCCACAAAGAGCACTGGCTACTCTTTCTTACAGAGAACCCTAGTGAGTTTCTAGTACCCACATCAGTGATCCAACACCCTCTTCTGGCCTCCTTGGGCACCTGCACATTCCCAGACACAAACGAAATAAATCCTTAAAATATTTTTGAGCCGGGCGGTGGTGGCACACACCTTTAATCCCAGCACTGGGGAGGCAGAGGCAGGTGGATCTCTGTGAGTTTGAAGCCAGGCTGGACCGATAGCCTTCAAAACAATACAGAGAAACCCTGTCTCGTAAAAACCAAAAAAAAATTTTTTTTGAAAAGATGTGGCTTGCTGGGCGTTGGTGGCGCACGCCTTTAATCCCAGCACTTGGGAGGCAGAGGCAGGCGGATCCCTATGAGTTCGAGGCCAGCCTGGTCTACAAGAGCTAGTTCCAGGACAGCCTCCAAAGCCACAGAGAAACCCTGTCTCGAAAAACCAAAAAAAAAAAAAAAAAAGAAAAGAAAAGAAAAGAAAAGATGTGGCTTTTAACTTTTTATCTTGTTGTTAGACAGTGTTTCTCTGCATAGCCTTGGCTGTCCTGGAACTCTCAGGCTGGCCTCAAACTCAGGGGTCCTCCTGCCTCCGCCTCCTGAGCACT